TTTGGGTTTAGGGGTTGAGGGGTTGAGGGGTTTAGGGTTTAGGGTCTAGGGTTTTTGGTTCCCTAGCTTGGGCTTCTTTGTCACCCTAAAACCCTGCCTACTGTAGGGGCCGTAATAATTAGAATAGGGTTTCGGGGTTCCTCCAAATAAATATAGTAGAATTACCCCAAGCTCGTTTCTAATTATTAAGGCCCCTATATCAGCCCTGGGGGTTTGGGCTTGAAGGTATCGGGCTTAGGGTTATATAGGGTCTAGGGTATAAGGGTTCAGGGTTCAGGGCCCTACACCCTCAACCCTAAGGGCTATTATCACAAGGGCCTCGAAGGATTTTACAAGTTTTCGACACATTTTTTGTAAGGTACTATCAGGGTTACATTCATCATGCAGGCGCTAAGGGAATAGCGTTCTACCGCCAATACAGGTGTTACCAGTGCGTTACCTAAGGGTTCTGTGGGGTTTAAACTCTCACGGGCTCTAAATTAGGGTCCTTGTAAGGGTCCTTTATATAAGGGTGTCGTACTATACTTGGGATCCAAAAAGGGGCCCTAATTAAGAGAACCACCCATGGAGTTTTGCTAAGGTTAAGGTCTTCTGATCTCCTGCGGTGCTTGATTTTCCGGGTTTCGGGATTCCACTTGAGGGTCGGGGGGCTTAGTAAGTGGGTAGCTCTCCAAAAGTCAGGGTCCCTTCTAAGGTCCCCCAAAATTGTAAACAGGACACTAAATGGGGTCCTAATTTAGAGAACTACCCAAGTCGCAATGCTGTAAAGTGGGCACTTGTTTAACTCTGCTCCTTACCTTTGTTTGAGCAGGGACTGCAATGCAATAAGTTCTGAGTTTTTTGGTTTTTATTTGCTTACTGAGTTCCCCGCGAGCCCAAGATGCCTTACTAGAAGTCACGGAATGTCCTATAATATGCATGCAGGGGGACGAAAGATGTACTGAGTTCCCCCGACCCTCCAAGTAAGGCTTTGCTTTTGGGTTCAAGTTTCGGCCAGAGCAGGGCCGAGCGCTTGTCGTTGGGGAAGCTCGGGTTTAGGGTTTAGGGCTGTAGGGTTTTAGGGGTTGGGGTTATATAGGACCTAGGGTTTAGGGCTTTAGAGTTTGGAGATACAATAGAAATATCGGACTTAGGGCATAGGCGCTTAGGGCTTTAGGGTTTTAGGGATATACTGCAAATATAGGACCTAAGGCTAGAAATATGGGTAGTTGTCAAAATTATGGTGCCTTTTGGGGTACCCTAAATAGTAGATGCCGCATTATAATAAGGACCCAAAAAGGGACCCTAATTTTGACAACCACCAATATACCTGATAGAAGCCTTATAGAAGCCTTTTTTTTCCCTAAACTCCCCACCTCTAGTTTCCTTTCAGTCGAGGGAACCTAAACCCTAAACCCGAAAACCATATCGGACTTACGGTTTAGGGTTTGAGGGCCTGGGCTGAGGTTCAGGAGCAGCGCTGAGCTGACCCTGCGAGAAGGAGCGAGAAGAACACGAAGGTTTAGGGTTTCAGGGTTTAGGGTTTAGGGTTTTAGGGTTTAGACTTTACGGTTGAGGGTTTTAGGGTTTAGGGTTTCTAAAGTTTAGGGCTTTATGGTTTTAGGGTTTAGGGTTTAGGGTTTAAAGTTTAAGGTTTAGGGTTTAGAGTTTAGGGTTTAGGCAGAAACGAAAAACACGAAGCGACAACACCGGCTAACCTTCAACCCCCCCGGTACACCCTTTTGCAACTGGCCTTTTCGGGCCCTAAACCTGACGCCCAAAAGCTCGAAACCAAAAAAAAATAGGGTTTAGGGTTTTGGGGTTTAGGGTTTAGGGTTTAGGGGTACATTAGACTATAGTTGTTGTAATTATAGTAAGGAACCCCAAGATGGTATTTGGCAATTATTCAGGCCCCCTATATTACGCATCCTTGATGAAACCACCCTTCCATATCCGATTGTACAGCAGCATTCAACCAACCCTAAAGCCTGGCCCTAAATCCTAAATAGCCAAGCCTACGTGTACTAAGCCCTACGTAAACCCTAAAAAAAACACGAATAAGCATCCCCTAATTTCAAAAATCCAGTTCTAAAGTACCCTTAACCCTAAAGCCTGAAGCCCCTAAACCCTAGACCCTAAACCCTAAACCCTAAAGCCTGAAGCAGCTGGGAAGCTTCTTGCGACTGGCGCTCTTCTTGCCGGCCGGCGCTTTGGCACTGCTGGGGGCGGTTGCGGCCTTCTTCTCGCTCTTCGGCGGCACCCCGAGTACCTGCAAAGAGGGCTTTAGGGCTTATTAATTAGGGTTTAGGGTTTAGGGTTTAGGGCTTTAGGGCTTAATTAAGGTTTTGGGGATTAGAGGACACTCTCACAACTCGGACAAGCCAGGCGAGGATCCATAGGTGCAATAGTCGGTGTGATACAAAGCTGACGACATACATAGGGCTTAGGGTTGGGAATTGAGCATTTTCAGAATTCGTAATAAAAAAAAGCGCAGCTGGTGTTCAGATTTGTCCGGGGGCTTGAAGTTTCGGCTTATACTGCCGACTGAAACCCTTCACCAAAGAGTACCCCCAAAAGAACTCAGAACGCCATTGTAACTTCAGGATGTCATCAAAAGGTTCGGACAGTTTGGAACCGTAAGTTTGATATAGCCCAATATGGCTTTGCAGTGTAAAGTGAACCCCTTCTATACATGTATTACCCTAAACCCTAGACCCTAAACCCTAACCCTAAACCCTAAGCCCTCAACCCTTACCCCTAAACCCTTTTGCATCCAGGACTCTTGCAAGCAGCCGGGAAACCCCCCTACCCCTAAACCCTAAAGGTGTCGGCCAGCGCCCACGCAACCCTTACCCCGTCTTAATCTAGGCTCTCTCCTTTGGTCCTTTTCGGGCTGTCTTGTAAGGTTTCGGCGTTCATATTCGGTTTAGGGTTTAGGGTTTAGGGTTTAGGGTTTAGGGTTTAGGATATTCGGACCCTCCCGGTCTCGATGGTGAAAAAAAGGTTGTCTCGGGTTTAGGGTAGAGGCCTACATGACCGGAAAACGCTTTAGGGATTTTCTTTCCCACCCGCCCAGCTGACAGAGTCGCACCGCAGGGAGTTTGTCGGAGACTGCTTAAGGTTGGGGAGGACTCAAGGACTGCTTTTGGGTTTTAGGAGGTTTAGGGGTGTCGATCAAGCCAGAAAAAAGGGCTTGTTTTTACACGGCATTAAGGGTTAGGCGGGCCTTAACAACTCGAACTCGAAAATGCTGTTGGGATACTTTCGAGTAATTACCGAAAAATTCTCCTAACACTCCAAAAGCGTTTTTTTGCCATGTGCTGAAAACCTATCCTTTTTGAATCCTTTTGTGTCGGGCGTTCGCCCGCTTGCGTAGGCGCGCTGGAAAGATTTCGGCGCTGTACGGGGCCAGGGCTCAGGTTGCGGGTTTTGGGTTTTGGGCTTTGGGTTTAGGGTTTAGGCCCCTCTTTCTGGGCTTTGGGTCTAAACCTGGTGGGTTTGGACCTTAGGGCATGCAGGGCTAGTGCTCAAGGCCGCAGACATGGCCTAAACCCGGAACCCCCAGAGCCGACGCCCACGAAGTGCACGAAGTCGCCATCTCGGCCAAATGGGGCCTAAGGACCCTAACATAAGTAGAACCTTCTTGATTGAAGTTTCGAGAGGTTTAGTCAAATTCTATGGCGGCCATAAGGGTATGGGTTTTCGCACCCCTGAACCCTAAGGCCCTGTAGAAACTGCGCCAACCCCAACACCAAACCCTAGAACCTTTTTGCAACTGGCCTGCTGCGACTAAACCCTAAACCCCTAAACCCTAAAAGCCCCGAAAACCTTAAACCCTAAACCCTAAAAACCCTAAGCCCTGAACCGAAACCCTGAACCCTCCCGATGGGGGCACCCTGCTCTTCTCGGCTGCCATGAGCTTTCGAATGGTGGCTTCGTCCATGAGCTCCTGTTCAATGCGGGGTTATAGGGTTTAGGGGTTTAGGGTTTGAGGGTTTAGGGTTTAGGGTTTAGGGGGTTACCCTTTCCCGAAAATGGACACGGCCCGACACTCTGAGAGAGGGTCCCTTGTTTTGTGGATCTGTCTATTCTTTCTTGGGCACTTCTGGTAAGGGACACGGACGACGCCCCAAACGGGTTTACGCAACAAGGGGGCCATCACAATTGAAACGATGGCTTTGCAGGGCTGGCATTATTATTGTTTCATGTCCAGACTTCAGCACAAGTCCGGGATTTATGGAAAGTGTATTCATCTAGGGACGATAAGAGTTTTTTCTGTTTCTTCAGACGTCCGTCGTACCGAGAACTTCCTGCAAGGCCTGATGATGGCAACACGAACGACAGGAGTCATAGGGACCACGGTCATGCGGCGTCATGCGGACCAAGACATGGCTCTTCGTGTGATAAAGCACAAAATGGTACGGAACAGACCTAGCAGCTAGCGGCAAGTGGGACACAGAGTACAAGAGCGCAAATCACCACCATGAGAGCATTCGAGCATTCACCATCAACCTAAACCAGCAAAATCATCCTTGCCATCTTCGAGAACATCATCGTCCTCGCTGCTACCATTCATGAAAGAAGCGGTGCTCAGCGACAGAACCATCTCGCACCTCCTTTCCACCTTCGTTCAGCGCAAATCGGCTATTGAGGTCTGCATCCGTGTAGCCCAGGACGCGGCCGCCCCGCTTCTTATCCTTGAATATGGCCGGCGGAATTTTCAGTCTTACCACTTACTATTCCTTACAAGGCTTTCCGCAAGTAATCAAAGTGCTACCCACAGGCCCCATAGTGGTTCCTTTTTGGGATTACCCTATAGGATTCTACAAATGAACCCCAAAAAGGAGCTACTTTGGGGCCTATGGGTGTATGCCACAAAAGCCTTCTAATGGCCTGGCCCTATGATAGTCCGTTTCTTCATTGATGAACTGGGACATGTTCTGAGCCGGAGTACACTGTTTCGGGGAGGGGTCCCTATATTTAGAACCGATTCGGGAGAAGGTTTGGGCATGATCAACTGGGGACTGGTATACAGAGAGGGTTTAGGGTTTAGAGGCTTAGGGTTCAGAGTTTAGGGATATTTCTACGGAATACTCATTATCTCATGTCAGCCCTGACACCCTAAACCCCAAACCCGAAACTGCACTATCCCTTGCCAACCCAAGCCGTGAAACGAACTAAACCCTAAACCCTAAACCCTAAACCCTAAACCTAACTATAGGTCCAAACTCCTCAACCTTCGGTTTCACGAAGACTGTTCTTCCCTCACGAAGACGGTTTTTTGTGTGTGTTTTTGTGGGCTCTTTTCCTCCGAAGACTATTTAAGGTTTAGGGTTTAGGGCTCAATTTTCTTGATATTTAGGACTAGGGGGGGCTTGACAATACAAACATGTCAGGAACAGCACGGAATCGTTCCAACCTGCGAATGCCTCCACGACTCCATGAACTGAAACCTTTGAAAATCAAAAGCTGCCTTGTCAAGGACTCAAAGCAAGTTGCAATAAAAGGGAATCAGAATGAGGAGCTTCAAAGATGTAGGTTTTCCAGGGTGTGATGACACCAGAACTGATGCTAGTAAACACACTTGCGAGGCATGCTAGACTGGAGTCGTTCAACTTTAGGGTATAATGCCCTCATAATATGGGGGCCGGGGCCTTAATAATCAGAATAGGGCTTTGGGGTACACTGTACTATAAGTCTCAAAAGGGCCCCGCCCCCTCCAAAAAAAAGTATTGGTCATTATCTAGGCTCCTACATTAGGCACTTGGGGATTCTAGAACTTCGGGTTTTCAGGCGTAGGAGTTTGCATCTTGAGTTCGGGGCATGCATTCGTGGGCCTTGGTGACCGGTCCCGCGAATGAGCTTCATGCCAGCCACAAGACCCTAACAAAGAATATGGGAGTTTCCGGAAATAGGGGACCCTAATATAGTACCCTAAATGGTAGGATCCTTATTATAAGAACCCCAAAATAAGGTACCCCTTATTTGCGGAAAGTCCCATATCAAGCACTCTCGACTCCATGTCCCTTTTTTTACATCTGGACTTGATGAATGCCAGCACCCCACTGAGCACAGGACCGAGGACCTTTGCCCAGGCACCAGCACAGCGGGAAGGGAACACAACATGACCAACTTTATCCCTGCCGTATGTCCCTAAACCCTAAACCCTAAACCCTAAACCCTAAACCCTAAACCCTACACCATAATAGAACCCTGGAGGCCCCACCGCGTTCTGATAGCCGCCAGGTGTCCACCACACCATCCACGCCTGGCTGCAAGGCGCAGATTCAGCTACATGGTTGGTTGATGGGGCCTTGATAAGGGCTACTATTACATAGGGTTTAGGGTTTAGGGTTTAGGGTTTAGGGTTTAGGGTTTGGGGTTTGGGGTCTGGGGTTTAGGGTGTAGGGGCCTGAATAATTATAATAGGGTTTTGGGACCCATTATACTATAATTCTAATAAGGTTGGCTGGGGGTTCAGGCTTGACGATTGCCTTTGGGATTTCGGGCTCCCGGTTAGCTTCAGGGCTTTTGGGATTAGGTTCGCTATGGCCCGCGACTGCTCTTGATGATGTAGGTAAGTAGATGCATCATCTTGAATGAGCACACTCTTTTGTAAACAAACCTACATTCCTCTGCTGTAACCGGCCTGGGCCAGTATTGCCCTGCACTGGCTCCCGGCTGTAGATGCAGTGGCCAATGTTGTAGCCCTTGCGCAGACTGTCCAGCCTGGTATAGGGTTAAATATGAGGGACTGATCAAGGAAAAGGCTTTGAAGGAAAAGGCTTTTCGTATTTTCATGATCAGGAACCCTGTAAGGAACAATGACAGTAATATCTGGTAATTCTGTTCGTACATTGAAGCATAGTAATTGGGAACCCGAAAAGGTACGTGGATTCAGACTTAGGCACCCAAAAAGGGGCGGTCGTAGCAACTGTTGCGACGCCTATGCTACGCCCTCACACTCGGACTCACAGTCGCCTCGGAAAGTGAGGTGAAGGTGGCACACAAAACGGCAAAGTCACTCGAGGGTCTAGGGTTTAGGGTCTGGGGTTTTGGGTTTGGGGTTTAGGGTATAGAGTTTGGGGTTAGGGGTTTGAGGTCTCTAGGGTCTAGGGTTTCGGGTTTAAGTTTGGGTCGGGCTTGGTGGGGCGACTCCAATTGTGGGGATCATTCACATACGTTGACCCCTGGTGCTTCTGAAGAATAACTTTTTTTAAGAAGGCCTGAATGTTAGAATCCTCGTTCTAATGAAAATGAAGGGAGGCGTGATCACCCAGGGATGCATTGATGAATTTGGGTGCTCAGGGTGTAGGGTCTACTGTCGAGTTGGGTTTGTGCTTTGGGGTTTCACATGTACAGTATCAAACTCTTTGGGGCGAGGAGGGGGGGGGGGGGGGGGGCGCGCTAGGTTTCAACGATGTCTGTGCCGAAACGAAGTCTGAGTCCTGTTGCTGTGTGAGTCTTGCCCCGACCCTGCCTTCAAACTCCATGCCCTCATGTCAGCGCAGTCCAAACTCGTAGGTTTGGGGGAGGAGGCTTTCATGAAAACTGGCACAGGGTCGGGACAAGGATGTGGGATGTAGGGAAGATTGAGACAAGGTCAACGCAGAAAACCCCATGGTGACTGCGATTGCGCGCTATGTATATGTTACATTTCGTTCTACTGGATTCTATCCTGTTATGTCATCTTCTAATGAGCTATATAGTATTATAGTATTCTATATTATATTATGTATCATATTTCTGCTCTTTATTATACGTATTCATATATACACATTTATACATAGTATATTGAGTATATTGTATGTCATATACGAAGACATGGATCTTTGCGGCAAGCCTTCCGAAGCCAAAGCCTTTTGAAACGCTGGGTCGACATTTGTTAGTGAGGTTTTTGTTGCTGCCTGCGGTAATGCTGTCGGTTCAGGGGTGGGGCTTGTATATAGCGTGGGTAGGGCCCAGAACCCAAGCCCCGAAACCCGAACCGTCACACTCCAACTGAAAAGCCCAAAACCCTTACTGGACCAGCGCGTTTTTGAATTGTTGTCTGGGTTGTATACATGTGCTACGGATTCCAGAGTTTTGCCAGGGTTTACACTCAGTTTAGGGCTACTCTTGACAACGTCCCAGAACGCGGGGGTGGTTCATCATTCTCCCGTCTCGGTGCTTACATATCACGTTCGATTAGCCGCTCTGCATGTTTGGTCGCACATCTTGCAGCAGATCATGCAACTTACCCAGTCGGGACGAAAGTGAATCCCGCATCAGTTCCTAGCCCTGCGTGCAAAGCAACTCGACGTTGGAATACTAGTATCAGCCATAGCTTCGAGAGCCACTCGCTAAACTGCCTTCAAGCCCCAAACCACGCCCATGAAAAGGTGGCAGATAGCGCGTCGAGTGCCAAGCTCTGGCACGCTGTGCAACGGTTTCGGGTTTCAGCGGCTTGGACAACAATCTTGCAACAAAATTATGCCTACGTAGATCCTCCAACAATCCAAGACGACGCACACCCAGAAGGTACCGGGACGACCTAGACGACCGCCACGACCAAGACAACTAAGACGACCAAAACTATCAGGACCACGACTGCCAAGACCACAAAAACTCGATTTCCGACAGGATCTGCAACAGTGGAACACCATAAAAAAAAAAGCTGCAGCCATGTCGAGCCGGTTAAAGCCACTGAAACTACCTAATAAATGGCAAGGTTGCTACTCACACGCAAGGAGAATTGCCACAAGCTCATTCGGCAAAAGAACAAGGAATGGCATGCAAAGTTTATGCTGGATATGGCAATACCCCAAACCTTAAGCGCTCTGACCTAAAACTTGGTAGGAAATTCTTGCAGCACTCCACAACATGAACCCCCTGCGCTTGCATACGACGGTGGGGTTTACGTGCAAAGTTTGCTTCAAACGTGCACACAGATATGGCTCCCCATGTGGCGTGTGCATTGCGGGTGGCATGTTTTGCCAATTCCCAGGATCCAGCGCGTGTTACCACAAATCGAGAGCTTGATGCCAATTCGCAGAATCACTCTGAGCTCCCAGCCTGTGCACGTCCTCATCCCTACGCAGATGGCGGATTGCCCACTTCACTCGGGATGGGAGCAGAGAAACGAAACAAAGCACTAGAGGCACTGCACATTCCCGCGGGAAAGCGCCTACCTGGTAACTGTACTCAAGAACCACATACGCATCAGCCAAGAGCTGGTCTCAACATGCCTTGAGAGATGTAAATTCCTGCAATAGCATCCTTTGTTTCTCGAGCTCCCAATGATTGTTGGAGTCAGCAGGGATTGTTGGTGCAAAACGGCTGAATAAAGAAGATACAGCGAGTATACCATGAACCTTTCACCCGGAGCTGTGAACCCTTTGCCCGACAATCTGGGCCGCACGCGACCTACTACGCAGCCGTGAACCCTGTACCTGTGAACCCTGCACCGCCTGAAAACGTCACTAGCACTTTTGCAACTGGCTGGCGACGTCACGCCAGGACAGCTGTCGCTTTCCACGCTGCAAGGCCTAAACCTTACAGTTGGTCCTATCATCAAAGGCCTAATTACGGCTAGCATACTGTTCTAGCCCCTCTACAACTACACGATGACTCATGATATACCCCAAACCCCTATTCCATCCACTTGTGCCCTGGACTCAACCCCTAAACCCTAAACCCCTAAACCCGAAAGCCCCAAACCCCTAAAACTCTAAACCCCTGAACCCTAAGACCCTGACCCTAAAACCCGAAACCCCTAAACCCTAAAACCCCTAAACCCTAAGACCCTAAACCCTAAACCCCCAACAAAAACAACACTTCTGGGCCAAGGGGCTTCATGCTGATCAGAGCGGAGGGCTTGTTCGAGGCGGTCAAGTGTTCGTCCAGAAGGAAGATGTCCTCGAGGAGTTAGGGTTTTCGGGTTTAGGGGTTTAGGGGTCAAGGGGTTTAGGGTTTAGGGGTTTAGGGTTTAGGGTTTAGGGGTTTAGGGGTTTAGGGGTGTAGGGGTTCAGGGTTTCGGGCTCCCGTATCTTACCGCAGTTACGAGTACTATTACAAGTACAGGCCCAGGCACGCGATTACTATTACAGGGTTTAGGGTTTAGGGTTTAGGGCTATTACCACCATTTCTACTATTATTTGCTCTCACTTTTACTCGTAGTATTACGATGCTCAACCCTGAACCCTGTCCATTCCGAGTGCCTTTACGGGTTCCTATAAGGGTTACCATGGGAGATCCATCACATGAAGGCCCTACAAATTTTACAGAGAGGCTCCGTTTATCTTACCGTTGCGATTTCCATTACCATTGCCACTACTATTTCTATCGCTAGTGCGACTGTTCCTTCCTGTTGCGATTGCTATTGCAATTGCCATTACTACGGCATTTTATGATCAGCAGCATCAGAATGTGGCTCATACTGTGTACTGTTCCAGGCGGTACTATAGATACTCTTCGTACCTGAAACCCCCCTGAACCCTAAAACCTAAACCCCTAAACCCTAAACCCTTAAACTCCTCGACCCTAAACCCCCTCTGCGCAGCGAGCTGTTGAGTCTCACGGTGCAGGGCTTCCGGGGGTTTGGGCCTTGGCCCATGATTTAAGAGAGCAGGTCTTAGAGTCTGAGTATTGTGACATGTACTACTATCGGATACTGTAGGTTACTACACGATATTATGGTCCTTCCCTCGATTCCCGAGCGGACTCCGTTCAGCCCAGAGTTGCGGGAGATTTGGGGAAGGGCGTGACTGGTTTAGACTTCGGGGCGCTCTCGTAGTCCAGGGTCTGTCTACCGTAGGGTTTTAGGGTTTCGACTCACACACTCNNGGCAAGAGAAGGTCCCGAGCTTGCTACAGTTTTAGGGTTTAGGGTTTGGGGTTTACGGGTTTCGGGTTTTAGGGTTTAGGGTTTAGGGTTTAGAACCCTATAACCTACCATCTCCCTGCTTTTCCCAGAGTTCCCAGAATGTCCGAATGGTTTAAAGTTTAGGGATTAGGGCCTAAAACACATGCCAAGCTGGCAGTTTAAGGCGCGGTTTAGCGAACCCTGAAACGCCGGGAAAGGTCCTTCTCGACGTCCTTTCCCATGGCCTCTCTCATTGACATCGCCTGCAAGCATAACGCCGCAGCCCAGTGTTCCTATTTACCACTTTTTGCACTTCTTAAAATGGCTTCTGCCAACTATTCTTAACAATTACCAACCTGAAATTATGATACCAAATGTAATTCAAGGAACTATTCTTAACAAGTAATAACCTGAAATTATGATACCAAATGTACTTCAAAGTCAGTAAGGGGCTGGATTTAGGGTTTAGGGTTTAGGGTTTAGGGCTTAGGGTTTAGGGTTTAGGGTTTAGGGTTTAGGAGGGCTTAGGTTCCCGGGCCTAAGCCTCGGATTCAACGGGCAACCTGGCTCGGGGTTTCAATGTCCGCTTAGTTGTTGAGCTCAGAAGCCCAAGACGGTGTAGGGGTTTAGGGTTTAGGGTTCCGGGTTTAGGGTTTCGGGGTTTAGGGCTTCGGGGTTTAGGGCTTCGGGGTTTCGGGGTTTGTGGGCCTTGGGCATCAGTTCTATGGGGTTTACACTCTCAGAACTCGGACAAGCCAGGCGAGGATCCATGTGCGACAGTCGGCGCGAAAACATTGAAATCTAGGATGCCTAGGGTTTAGGGTTTCGGGTGTATGGTTTCAGTTCTATGGGGTTTAGGGTTTAGGGTTTCGGGTGTATGGTTTCAGTTCTATAGAAGGTAAGAATGTCCCAAAATGTGCCTTCAGCTCAGTGCTGCGTCGCTGGGGATGTCAGGAGTGGCAGGCTCCCACCACCCGTAAACGCAAGTGCGGGTCACAAGGTTTAGGGTTTACACTCTCACAAGGTTTAGGGTTTAGGGTTTGGGTTTTGGGATATGTCGTACTATGAAATACAATGAGGAGCCTCCAAAATAGTACTGGTAATTCTGGTAATTGCTCAGGCTCCTATTTCACATCCCGCAAACCCTTCTTTGCTACAGGCTTGCAAGCAAGAACGCACGGTAGTTAGCCACTCGTCCGCCAGAAACTCCTAAATTGTGGCGCCAGGGCCCTGCACTTACAAAGAGACAGCAAGGCGACAGAAGATTTTTTTTATTGTCAGTCCTTCCGACCCTTTTTTTGTGACCCCAAACCTTTGCCAGGAATCCAACCCCGACCTTTTTCCGGGGGGAGGGGGTCCTTCTTGTATCCCCTATCTCACCCGTTCTAGCAGTCCCGAGAGTCTGTCCCTCCTCCACTCTCCCCGTTTCTTGACAAAACTAACGGTTAACCTTTGGGGTTGGATATGGATTCTTGTGCTCTCGCAAGGTTAAAGGCTACTAACTCTGCTTCTAAGCCCTTCAGCACCAGTATTAAGGGACAATAGGAGGGACCCAAATACCCCATATAACCCTTGTATACCCCTTATATAGTCTCATAAAGCCCCTATATAATCCCAAGGGTCCCTTTAAGGTTCCCTCCTTTAGTCCCTTGACAGTAGGCCTCTTCGAGCTTCGTTGCTGCACCCTTGTCCAGCTTGTGCCTGCGGATTGACGCTTTTCGGAGCTTCTCAGCTGATAGGGGCCACCGAATATATGGGGGCCCTACTCAGAACAATGGGTTTAGGGTTTAGGGTATAAATCAGCATCATGGGTTTAAGGCTTAGGGTTTAAATAGGCATAATGCGTTTAGGGTTTAGGGGTTTAGAGTATAAATAAGTATTTGGGCTTATGTTTTAGGGTTTAAATAGGCATAATGCGTTTAGGGTTTAGGGTTTAGGGTATAAATAGGCATCATGCGTTTAGGGTATCATACTAGTGATCCTTCGAAGGGGGTTCTCTACAAGGGTTCTTATGCAGGTGTCTGGGGGCCAAGTACCTGGGCCCAAAAACTTAATGTAGGGGCCTTAATAATTCGAATAGGGTTTTGGGGCCCCATTATACTCTAATTATAATAAGGAATCCCAAAAATAGTATTGGTACTTATTTCGGCCACGCAAAACCATGCCGGCAGGTAAACCCAATTAAAGGAAACTACATGTGGGGAGTTTGGGATATATGAGGCTTCTATCAGGTATATAGACCTTCTATAAGGCACCTATAACGGTAACTACCCACCTGAAAATGTCCACCACCTAGCACTTTCCGGACGGATGCAACCGAAGGAGTGACAGAAACAAGTACACCGAAACAAACAACCTTAAACCCAAACCCTAATTCCCCACGGCCCCTAAGACCCTAAGCCACAAAAACCAAAAACCACCCTGAACCCTGAAGACCCTAAACCTAAACCCTAAAGACCCTAAACTCCTAAGACCCTAAACCCCTTAAGACCCTAAACCTAAAGACCTAAACCCCTAAGACTCCTAAGACCCTAAACCGCAAACCCACGACCCTCTGGGCCGGCTGCTTGCGCGCGAGCTCCCGCACCCTCGGGCCGCACTTGGCCTCAGGGGCAGCTCGGTGTCCCATTCTGCGGGTGCTTAACCCAAACCCCCAAAAGGACCTAAAAGATCGATCCCCTAAGGGGGTTCCTATAAAGTACGCTTTAGTAGTTAGGGTCCCTAATTAGGGGATCTATTCTTTAGATTCTTTTGGGGGTCTGGGAAGGTGGGGGGTCTGCTCATTAGAACAGGGTTTTGGTGTATATTATACTAGAAGTTTAAACGGGAACCCTCAAAATAATATAGGTCCAGGTATCTATATAGGCCTCTGGAATACAGGTTTTTTTTACCAGGTCCTTGTAGGTGTCTAGCACAGGAATCCGAAAGGATTCGAAGACTGAACTGTTCAGGCCTCGGTATTAGCCTGAACATGAGCTGTCGAACCGAAGCCGTAAGTAAGCTTGGAAAGCAAACCCGTTCAGCCCACAATCACCACAAACCCGAATGAGGCCTCCTTTCTTCGAATCCCCGAAGAAGATCCCCAAACCCTACTGTATGTAAGGGCCTGAATAATTAGAATAGCGTTTCGGGACGCTTTATACTATAACTTATAACAAGGACGCCCCCCCCAAAAATAGTATAGGTAATTATTGAGGCCCCTTTTTTACACCCAACCCTAAACCCTAAACCCTAAACCCTAAACCCTAAACCCTAAACCCAACCTGCCTTGCCCACGAAGGTCCCCTTCTGCATGTCCTTCACCTTGAGATTCAGCATCGCTGCTGGCGTGTGCGCATCCTGCCGTCGATTTTCGCCTTTGGGGCCCTACTTGTAATGCAGGGGCCTTAATAATTAGAATAGGGTTGCGGGGTTTAGGGTTTAGGGTTTCGGGGTGCATTATACTATAATTATAATAAAGAAGCTCCCAAAACATTATAGATAATTTTTAAGGCCCTTATATTATCAGAAGAGAAGCTGCTTTCATACCAAGGCCTGGACGTCGGAACAATTGGCAATGAAGTCCCTTTCAGACATAAACCCCAGAACCCGATCCCCAAACTCCCTAGTATGCTCTCCCCGCGAGCCTACAATCCAAAGATCTTGAAACGCCAAGCCCCTAAAACCCGAAAAGGGCTCTAAAAGTCAAACCCCAAAAGCCCCCATAAACATACCTTAAGCACGACTTGAAGTCCAGACCGAATAAGAGAGGAATCACAACTCCACCCTAAACCAACGAAGCCTTAAACCCCCAAATCTAACCCTAAACCCTAAAACCTACATCCGAAACCCTAAAACCTTCACCCTGAACCCTAAAGCCCAAACCCTAAAACCTAGCTCCTTGAGGATCTCGTAGAGCCTCGCCAGATCCTGCTCCCAGGTATTCATCCTCCCGGGGCGCTGTAGGACTTCTTTGTGGGTTTTGGGGTGCAGGGTTCAGGGTTTCAGAGTTTAGGGTTTAGGGTTTGGGATTCAGGGTTTGGGGTTTTGGGGTTCAGGGTTCAGGGTTTCAGAGTTTAGGGTTTCAGAGTTTAGGGTTTAGGGTTTGGGGTTTAGGGTTTAGGGTTTCAGAGTTTAGGGTTTCGACTCACACACTCGCACAAGGCTGGCATGGCAAGATGGTCCCGAGCTTGCTACATGTACATACCTGCTTGTCAAAGGACTGGCTAACCCGAGATGCCCAGTAAGGAAACCACCACAAGAGTATTAAAGATCTGGACAAAAAGACCCGGGCAACAGGGGAATTCCCAGCCTAGACCGCAGATCCGAAGCAGAGGACGGTCTATTGCGACCACATTCTGCTAAGCACGCCGCTACGGGAACCTACTGTTTCAAAATATTATCACTGTAATCTGTGGACGAACTTGGGCGCGCTAGTTGTCGCACGCCATGAACATGTTTGCACTGTAAACTATATGCTTCCCATCGGGGTGATCCACTTCGTAGTGCAGGTTCGTAGTGCAGGTTGGCGTAGTACAGCAGGGGGGGGAAACTTGTCATGCAGTCTTGCATTGTCAATCCATTCTCCGTCGACGACGCCGTTACGCGGCGTCCTCATGCAGCAGAAGCTTCGTATAAGTTCCTGACATTCAACTGGTGCAGAAGGCTTGTCATGCTCATCGAATTCACCTGCAGGCGTCTGTTCCAATGCCATAAATTCACCACCGTTGTCCAGCAGATTTTGCATGCAGTAAATTCGCCACCTTCATGCAGAATACTTGACATGCAGAGCATGCAGAGTCGGAAACCAGGCATTGTTGTCTCATGCAGTGATAAATTCGACACATCATGCAGAATGCTTGGCATGCAGAATCTGAAGCCGGGCATTGTTGTCTCATGCAGTGATAAATTCGACATGTCATGGCAACTGAGCTTGCACATCCACCTGCAGTGCCAATTCAAGCACATCGTTGTGTACAGGCCTGTAAACTCCTTCTCACTCTCGCTGAGCTTCACCCCGTACAGTGTCACGGCGCGCACGGTCACAGGGGCTCCAGGTTCTGTGATTGGGACAGCTGCGTTGATGGCAGTCGTTACACCAGTCGACTCCAATCGTGTCAGTTCAAAGCTCTCAGGGCAGCGCACGACACAACTTTTGTGTGTGTTCTCCAGTACGATGCCAGGCTTCCTCTTGGATAACAGGCAAACGATTGTGCCCGTAAACCATGGCGGCAGATTCGAGCGGGTTAGTGGTTTGTCAGAGGGGTAGGGATGTAGGGGCGGCAACGACAGATAGTGCAGTGCTGGCGGCGACGCAAGCAGAGCAGAGCGACAGCCCTCGGGGTTACTTCCGTGCAACAGCGGGGAGGGCGTAGCCCATAACACGTCACTCACTCTGAAGAGTCAGCATCCATCATCCATAAACGCATCAAGTCACCTGTGGCCCCAGAACACACAGTCCCTAACCCGTCACTCGACACTCACAACCAGACTGTTTCACTGCCCTTTCCTTGTTCAAAGCTACCATGTCCTGCAATCGACGTGGAAGGCACTCGCTCCACTCCTTTCTTTTCTTCGCGCAATGACTATGAATTCTCTCCGCTCCACTGCAAACGCTGACACCTCGAAAATGACTGCACATGCATTTGGTCAAGGCACGACAAAAGTAGTTATTCACAACATGCATACAGCAAACACGAGTGTTTGAGACGTGCTCCACACGTCGCGGCCCGAAAAGGGGGGGCTATTCCTAAATTCTACAACATGCTACAGGCCCGTAGGGCTATTCATGAATTCGTGTATTTGTCAACATGCAGTGTGTCATGCATCTAAATTCATCGTCGTGCATTCATGCAGTCGTCAAATTCGTCGTCGTGCTCACATGCAAGCTTGCACAGTGCCTTGTGTATATGAATTCATGCGCGGGTGTCAATGCCATACATGCGCAGAGTGTTTGTACATGCAGCTTGTAACAGAAGAGCTCTTGGCCATCTTGGTCATCGGGACGTAAAAGCAGAGTACTTATAACAAAAACCGAACAAGTCAACCATACAGGACAGCACCTCAGCCAAAGAATGGCCTAAGCTCCTCGTCGCGCACTGCTGTTCGACTACCATCACTGAAAGTGACTGTGGCAAGACCCGGGCCCATCGTGACCGTCGGTCCCAGAACCGTGCCCCTGCCCATCGGGATGCGGCTCTGTAGGTCGATCACTCGTGGCTGAGGCCTGGCGTCTTCCGGAGGAGGTTGGCGGTAGGGAAGGCGCTCGTGGTACTTATCCTTTAGCTCTTGGATTTTCTCACTGACTTCGCCGATGAGGTCCTTGGTGCTGGACAGCGTCTGTTCCTGCTCCTTGATCATCTCCGCCTGCGCCATCAACTGATCCACCATCCTCTGGAAGACCCCCGCATCTGCTGGGAGCCGGGCAAAGGCACTACCCAATTGCGAAATGCCCCTAACCCTACTGTTGCTCCAGCAGTTGCCATCCTTGTCAGTTGGCTAGTTGAAAGCCCAGCCACTCCATAGACAGGTCCTGGTTTGCCAAACACGTGCAGGAGCGTCATCTCCAGTGCTCTCAGCAGCTGGGATTCCGTGCCGGTGTGACCAGCATGGTTGATGATGAGCTGCTCCCACGTCTCAGGTTGAGCAACTTCATCCACCTGTGGTACTACTCCACCGCCAACGTAGCCGAGATCACCTGCGTAATCATTCGGCCCACCTCCGCCAGCAGGGTCCACAGGGAATACTGGTACAACCATACTGGGCTGCACTTCTTCCTTTCTCACGAGCACAACTATCCTTTGTTTGCTTGGTAGATTGTGCTTCTCCAGAAAAGGGCACAGTCCACCAGGTGCAGTTGGCCCAAACCTTGCGAGCACGTGTCCTGCAGGATAGCCCCGTCTGGTGTTGGGGAATGGATGAGTGAGCTCCAGCATGGCTCTGCGAAATTCAACCGTGTTGAGTTCCTCCAGTCGATTGACTATGAAAACCCACTGGCTGTCTTCACTATGAGCTTTCCACCACTCAAGAAAGGCGATTCTTGTGTGCTGCGGCCAGGTGGTTCCACCGAACACGATGTAGCCATTCTGGTTCACACCAACTGCATCACCGCCAGGATGAGCCCAAGGCACATCTGGTCCATTCAGATCTTGCACGGCAGTGCCGAAGTGGGAGCGAAAGTACCGCAGAATCAAGCCATCCAACATCTTTAGGGTTTAGGGTTTGGGGTTTAGGGTTTAGGGTTTCAGAGTTTGGGGTTTAGGGTTTAGGGTTTAGGGGTTTAGAGTTTGGGTTTAGGGTTCAGGGTGTAGGGTCTGGGGTCTGGGGTTTGGGGTTTGGGGTCTAGGGTCTAAGGGATTAGGGTTTAGGGTT